AAAGGGTTGTGGGCGGACGAGCTACCAAGTGTTCTATGGGCTCACCGAACCACGGAAAAAACCGTCACAGGAGAGACCCCCTTTAACCTCACCTACGGCACCGAAGCGGTAATCCCGACAGAAATCAAAATACCTACACCGCGACTAGAAGCATATGACGATCAGACAAACAGAGATGAGTTGCGCACCAACCTCGACCTACTGGATGAAGTAAGAGACCTCGCGCACATCTGAACAGCGGCCTACCAGCAAAAAGTAACCCGGTACTACAACGCCAGAGTAAAGAAGCGGAGCTTTCGCGTCGGCAACCTGGTTCTCCGTAAGATCATGGTACCCGAACCCGGCATGGGCAAAATAGGACCAAATTGGGAAGGACCCTACAGAGTAAAGAAAGCACTCGGGGGGGCATTCGAGCTCGAAACCTTAGAGGGTTTGCATGTACCCCGAGCATGGAACATCGTCAACTTAAGGCGATACTACCTATAGACCACCAAGCGAAGTGGATAAAATCGCCACCAAAGCCTAAGGGCTAGGATGCCAAGCTAATGAAGGAACCTCGGCATAGGCAAGCCAAGAAAAGTCAGCCAAAGGCGAAACGGAGACAACGAACTAATAGGGACATCGGCATCTCAGAGCACCAAAACAGGCCACGCGAGTGCGGTAACCTAGGCAGGAAACAGACCAGACGTATGGTCAGTTCGCCAAATACGTTCAGTTCGGGAGAAAGAACAACCAACACTTAAACCAAAAAGAAAGTCATTCCATTTCAAAATAAGGGAGTACATTTCAAAAAAAAAAAATTGTTACAGGCCCGGAGCTACTTCCTCATTATCAGAAGGCACTTCAACAATACCCGAAGGTCCCGCCTCGCCCTCGGAATCTGGTTCACCATCTGCAGCATTGGCCATCTCTTGAGTTATGTGCGAAGTGGATATGGCACTGATATCAAGCTCGGGGTATGTATTACGGATCATCCACCGGCTTAGCTTGAAACCCCTTCGGTACGAATCCACCATCAGGTCGTCAAAGCCCGACGAGGTGCTGTACTCATCGACGGCCTTCTTCTTGGCATCTTCAATACCTTGAGAGAAGATCTGCATCCTCTCCCTAATGTCCTCCTGAAGATATTCGACCTGATGCTGCAAATCCAGCCTCAAGTCCGCCATATGTTTCACTACGACTCCCATGGCCTCGACATCTCTCTGAGACCTCGCCTGCCTGAACTGTGCAACGCGAGCAACCGCCTCAGTAGCACGAAGAGCCTCTTCGGTAGCTCACGTCTGCCTCGAGCTCTTTTCCACTTGGGCCGCCAAGGCGTGAATAGAAGAGTTCACCTACCAAAGGAAAGGACAGGTGATTAAAAGAACGTCAGCAAGAAGGATAAAAGCAGAAGAGCTCAATAAAAAGTCTGACTTACCACCATGGCATGAGTAACAGCACAACAGGCCACCTGGTGCAGAGGGAGATCGGTCCACACCGCGACCTCCTCAGGAAAAATGGCCTCCTTACTCTTCTGAAGAGCGTGGGTCAGCGACAACACACTCCTGAATTCCCCTGGAGCCCTCGAGCCCGAGGTCCCAGCTCGCGTATAAGCAGACCCAGAGTAGGTGGGAGTCCCCGTGTAAGTAGTTTCAGCATACGAGCCCCTTGCCGCTTCTTGCATTGGAGGAGCCATCTCGGGCTCCTTGGGTGGATCCTCTGACGGATAGTCTGGAACCTCGGGCTCCGCATCCCGGGGCAGCTCGGCGCGAGTTCGCTTGGCGACTCGCTTCCTCCTCTTCATGCCTTGAAACAAGTACCCACCACAGCTCCCTCCTGAGTCCATCACACCTGCGAAAAAGAGTTCGGCGTTAGAAGAAAGTAGGAGACAACAAAATAGGACCTCTAAGTAAGGAACCTACCCGAACTCAGGCCGGCCGCAATGAGCTTGCCCTCCGTCAGATACTGTTGGTACTTTAGCACAAGCCGCGCCCAATGCCGGAGGCCCTTCGCCGTCTCTTTGTCAAGCATAACCCCGGAGTCAGGGGCGGCCATCCCCCACCCGGTCTGAAACGCCCACCCTAGCACACTTCGCACCCCGAAGTAGTCCCGCTTCCATGCCGGGACCTTATTAGGAAGCTCGTGTAAAAGCTTAAAACCCGGGCGAGGAGACAGGTAGTACGCTCGCCTACGCCCGGGGAGGAGACCCGCTTGCTTCTTAAGCATTAAGATGGAAGAGAAGATCTCCAAGTCTAAAGGAAAGCCATGTTCGCAAAATAGAGAGATGGTCCCCACCAAATTACGAATGGAGTTCGGGTGAAGCTGGCCGACCGTAACGCCGAAGTGATTCAAGACCTCGACAAGGAAAGGATAGAAAAGCAATTGCAGCACCGCAGCGAGCTGCTCCCGGAATATCACGATCTCATCAGGACCGTGTTCCCAAGGAAAACAACCCAAAGTTATGAAATAAGCGTACTCCTCAGGCAAATTATAATAGGTAATAAGGGATTGGAGCCCCTCAGGGGTCATGGTCGAGGGGCCAAACTTGTCTAACGACTGACCCCGATGAGAGGTGGACGCCAAACTTCCCGAGGCGACTCGACCAATGGGTTCGAACTCTTCCTCGAGCTCTACCTCCAGCTCGCTAGAGCTATCAGGGGATGCAACTCGGTTCGTGGAACCTGCATCTGACTCACCGGAAGAACCGCCTGATCTATCTGAGATAGACATTGAGGAAAGAAGGTGGATTCCATGAAGGTATTCACCCGGATAAGAGCTTGAACGAGACTACAAGAACTTGAACGAGCAAAAAACCTTGAACGCGAACTGAAAGCCCGGACGTGAGCTGAAACCTGGACGCGAGCTCAAGAGGCAGCGCAGAAGTGACAAAGCGACTGGGGTCCCCCACTATTTATAACTGCAGTGACCGAGAAGCAACGGCGCAGATCAAAGCCGATCCAACGGCCCACAGTCGCGCTAACCGCACGTCCCCTGAGACCGAGACGTGATTGGCGCACGTCTTTTTGAAACTGACAAAACGCCAGYGCACGTCTCCTCACGTTAAAGGCGGCAGCGACACGTTTTCAAATTTGAAAAGACGCCTGCTGTCACGTCTCCCAGCGGCGTGCTTTTTCAATTTTTAAAATAAAGAGCGCACTGCCACATCTGTCAGCATTTGAAGGCAGGTCGGCGCGTTGCCCGCGCTATCAGTCAACCAAGATTCGAGGTACGGGACAAATCCACTAACCAGCTCGCAAACTCCCCGCGCCAGGGCAAGGCCCTTAGCACGAGGAGTGGGGGGCAATTGATGAAGGAAGATTTGGCCCGACCTCGTAATCACCCAACACATGGCAAAGGCGAACTGCACAACAGCGCGCCTGAGGCGCGATCTTTGAAAGGAAGAACCAGCGGTCTGAACTCCCTGCAAGGAGCCCGAACTCCCTGCAAGGAGCCCGAGCTCTCCCTTTGGCCCCGAGCCTTACAAACACAAAGGGCAACAACCCGAACTAGCCTGCCCCATGGCAGTTCGGGATACACCTCTATCCGCACTCAAGACCACCTCGCTCGCCACTCCAGCACTTCGCCCCCAAGGCGCCGAACTGAACAACCGTACCATGCCTGACACCAAGGAAGTCCGTGTCCAGGGGCGGCGCACCTGATTGACTTAGGATCTGACGCTTGACAGCCGCACTTCAACGGCCACCTACCACCGCCACCTGCCACTGCCATCTCCAGTTGCAGAGACGGCTCCGACAAAAAGAGCAGTGGCAGTTCTGCCCCAGTAGAGGTGATGACGCATGAACTGGCAGGAGTGCGAAGATAATCATACCCGACCTGATAGAAGCTTAGGAGTGAGTGCGCGAAGTGGTTATAAAAGGCTCTCTACCCCCCAAGAACAAGGTATGTGAACTTTGCGTCATCTGGTTTTATCTTGCCTTTGAGAGAATTCTAACTTGAGCTTTGGAGCATTCATACCGGGTTCCCCCCGGAGCTTCCTTATCTTCTCTGCTTCAGGCTCCCCGTATCTCCGTCCAGTGGCAGAATGGTTGACAGATAGGACCAGCCGAATTGCGCACCATCAGTTAGTATCCGGTTCAACCGGACGAACAATCATTAAATATAATATAATGGGATTAATCTTGACCGTGGATTGATGCCAGTGCAATATGCGAATTAAAGGGGGCTACTAATAGAATATAGGGACTGTAATTCAGGATTATTAAGTATCCCTATGGTTTAGTTATTGATTAAAAGTTGAGAGTTTGAACAGGACCGAGGGGATGCCCCTTCCCTTCTCAAATAACGTCCTGGTAGGCAACGTGTTTCTCACTCGTGAACCGCCGGTTCACTGGATTGGAGCTCCTGGTATAGGTACTAGGTAGCTATGCAAGTTAACCGTGCGGACAAAATCCAGTCTGGATCCACGGAAAATATCTGACAAGTTACAACTTAGCCTTATCCACAATTTGTTTATTTTCCAGCTCTCCGGCCCGACGGAATATGCAATACAAGAGCTCCAGTTGAGGCCTCTCAGCTCTCACTCTCTCAGAGGTTAAAGTAATTGCCTAATTGGAGAGATGGGTGAGGTCGATGCCGCCTTCATCCAAGACATAGAGCACAGACCTCAGCTCCTCGTAGTTGAGGCTGAAGGAATTCCAGTGATTGATCTCTCTGTCTTGAACTCTTTCCAGGAGGGTGATGACCCACGGGGACTTGCAGGTCTTGTGGCTGAGATAGGTGGTGCATGCAAAGACTGGGGTTTCTTCCAGGTGATTAACCATGGGGTGCCATCCGATCTGCGACTGCAAGTTGAGACGGTGTCAAAGAGGTTCTTCGCTCTGTCTCTGGATGAGAAACGCAGGGTACGGAGAGACGAGGCGAATTCTTTGGGTTACTACGACACTGAGCATACGAAGAATGTCAGGGACTGGAAGGAGGTCTTTGATTTCATGCTGGAGGATCCGGCGGTAATACCAGCTTCACACGAACCAGATGACAACCGCTTAAACCAGTTGAGGAACCAGTGGCCTGAGTACCTTCCTCAGCTCAGGTGATTTTGTTAGCTAGTCTCGATTGCGCATCTTTTAATTATCAACTTTCCATCAATTACTTGCTGAGTTCTTTATAAGTAAGCTACTAATGCTCGATGTTATCGGGCTCCATCAATTATCTCTCTTGTCATTATGGTAACTCGACCATCTATTATAAACATTAACACATTGGCATTGATGATGAGTGGATGCTTGTATCGGACAGGGGAGCCTGTGAAGGCTATGGTCGAGGCATAGAGAAACTAGCATTTAAGCTGTTGGAGCTAATCTCCCTGAGCTTAGGCTTGCCTGCGAAACGGTTGAATGGCTTCTTCAAAGATCAGACCAGCTTTATCCGTCTCAACCACTACCCTCCTTGCCCTTCACCTCACCTTGCCTTGGGTGTTGGTCGACATAAGGACTCAGGAGCCCTCACTGTGCTCGCTCAGGATGATGTTGGTGGCCTGGAAGTGAAGCGCAAGGCAGATGGTCAATGGGTTAGGGTCAAGCCCATCCCGGACTCCTACATCATCAATGTTGGCGACATAATCCAGGTATCATCTGAATATATATAATGGGTGCAGGGTGATCAACAAAGATTGGTTTGGACTCTTGTTGCAAGTATAAACTCTGTTGTTGTTAACAGGTATGGAGCAATGAATTGTACGAGAGTGCAGAGCATAGGGTGAGGGTGAACACAGAGAGGGAGAGATTTTCCATACCTTTCTTCTTCAACCCTTCACATTATGTTATGGTGAAACCTCTGGAGGAGCTGCTAAATGAGAAGAACCAGCTTCCAAAGTACAATGAATATAACTGGGGCAAGTTCTTCGCCAAAAGGAAGCTAAGCGATTTCAAGAAGCTTGCTGTTGAAAACATTCAGATATATCACTTCAAGAAATCAGATTAAAGTGAGGTTTCGTAAAGCTGGATATTGATTTTTGAGAAAGCAAGAAAGATCTGAGTGTGGCTCTAGATTCTAAATAGCTAAATTTTGCTGTCTGCTTGAAAATCGGTTTGTAATAATATCTGAAAAGAGATTGTTTTACATTTTAGCTCTATGAATTTATTAGTTTATTTTTTTATAGATAAAGAGAAGAGAGGAAGGAAAAAAAAGTAGAAAATGGTTTACCAGAAGTAGTATTGGCTCTACCAAATAAAAACAATAAAAAAGAAAGATGGTAGTTCGAAAAAGAGGTGAAGTTAGTAAAAGACATTAGCATTTTTTTGGGTTTCTAGAGATAAAAGGCAATTTTTTGCCTTTAATATAAAAAAGAGATAATAATTTTATATAATAACTAAAATGGGTAAATTTTTTAAAAAAATATGAAGAAAGGGCACTGCTCGTCTTCCTCCTCTCGCTCTGTATTCGTGGGAGGTTAAGGTCACCGGCGACAATTATGCTCGTGGATGAAACAACGGAAACCCGAAACAGCAGTGGACAGTCGGTGTAGTTACATGTGTCGCTCCCTCACTTCCTTATCAAAAACCAACAACAGCAATGACATTCGTCTCTGAGAAGTGAGAACTCAGAAGCAGAGCTCTACAGCTATGGGACGAGAAAACGGAAACCCGAAACCATAGTTCTTAAAAACGAACTGGTGATCGAATCGGTTAGGGGTCCGATTACTGGTTCGAACGGTTAATCGGCTGGTTCAGCTGTTTGTTTATCAAAATCAATGGTTTTGGAAGAAAAAGCGGTTTTGAAAGAAAACGGTATCGGTAAGATGATCGGTTCCTGGTTTTTCCGGTTCGGTCCGGTTTTAAAAATAATGCCCGAAATAATGCCAGGCTAGCCATACAGGAGCTCACCAACATGATCAGCGTCCCGATAACCCTCAATGCCATCGTCTGCCTCAAGGTCCCCGATGCCATCTGGCAAGGTAGTTCCAACGTCCCTCTCTCCGCCTTCGAGATCTTAGCACGTGTCCTTCCAACCGGCGATCCCAAAAACCTTTAGCGTTCACCAGCTACGATGTCTTCTCGAAGCACATCGCTGAAATACTCCCTGACAGAGATTGGAAAGACCCTGGTCACCGACAAGGAGGGTCTATCGTACGCTGTGTACCTTCTGCAGCACCACCAGGATGCACTGGTGAAGGTGTGTCCCATCCTGCACGAGGTAGTAGTGGACCCGAAAGAGGAGCCGTTTGTGAAGGCGAACGGTGATCCGGTGTACTCGTACTATGGAGACAAGCCGGAGATGAACGAGATAGTGCAGAAGGCTACGTCGGGGGTATCCATGCCATTCATGAAGGTGATATTAGAGGGCTACGATGAATTCAAAGGGGTGGAGAGCCGGAATGTTAGGAACATTCGTATGAATAGAGAGCAAAGTAGAAAGACGAACAACAGTGCCCTTTTTTATATTTTTTCAAAAAATTATCCTATTTTAATTATTATATAAAATATTACTTTTTATTAATATTAAGGGCAAAAAGTTGCCCTTATATGCAAGAAACCCTTATTTTTAAAGGAAAAGTGTAACAGAACTGCATGGTATGACAATATTCCTCCTCTTTGCATTTACTCCAAATCCATCGGTTCCTACAAGCCTAGAAAAAAATGCAAAACAAAGTAAAACTATAAAATGATATCAAAGCCAAAACCCATCACTAGATGGTCATTTTCTGATCATTGTTGGGGCATTCTTGCAAAATGTCCTTCCTCCCCACACTTATGGACCCCAGTTTTGTGCTAGTGTGGAGTTGAAATTTTCTCCTATGCACATGTACGGATGGCAATTTCTCCTACCTGGCAGGTATCTTTTTCAATGGAGAGTTTTTTTTCTTTGAAAAATGGATTTTGGGGTGAGAAAGGTTTTGGGGTTTTACAATCCATATGGGTATGGATAGGTTATGGTATTAGGTTAAACCCTCCCGTCCCTGACCTGTATGTTATTAGAAGGCATATGAACTTATTTATTAAGTGTTGAATATCATAATATTTTGAATTTTATGTGAAGGATAATTTATACTTTATGTGTATTAAAATGTTTTAATCAAATAATTGAAAACTCTAATGTTTGTTCATGCTGTTTTACTTGTTTGTTGCTTATACATGTATAATATGAAATAATAGGAAGTTTAGATGTGGGTTTTGAACCCAAATCACCAATCTGACCCATCCCACCCTTAAATGTGGGAATGGTAGGGTCAAGGAGGGTTATGCATTTTCAAGTGTAGGGAGGATTTGAATAATGAAAAAAATCTTACTAAGGGTTTTGGGGAAGGTATGGGTTGAGAGGTTTGGGGAGGTGAATAAGGTTTAGAAATTTTACAAAATCTTCCCTTAATCTGCCCTGTTGCCATCCAATTGGAAGTGCTGTGAGGTGGGTGTGAAAACCATTTTGTATGGAGAAAATCCAGATTCGGGTATGTTTTTTATAGTTATTTACCAATTAATAGTGATAAACTAGAAATGACTTTGACTTCGCATATCATACAATAAAATGAAATAAGCAGGGGTTATCATTTCCAGCTCAGCCTGGAATGCCCAGAAATTCCAGACGGGCTTAGGTTGTGTATTCAGCCCAACCTGGGCCCAATATATTAAGCCTGCCAATTACAATATACCACCCATAATACATGTCATATATAATATTTTATATTATATATTGCAGAAAATAAATTTTATATTTATATTATATAACATATAATATAAATATTATATATTTAATATTTTGTGAATAAATCAGAGGATCAGAAGCCTGGGCTTATATTTTAGCCCAAAAGGTCTGGCTGTGCTAAACCGGGTCCATGATAAGAAATAAATCATTCGGTTCAGCCACTTCAGCTGTTACCAAACGCTCTTATGTAATTGTTCACAAATCAAAGTCCAATTCAAAAGGAACCTTCAATTTGATAAACATACTCGGATGGAACTAAAACCATCCAATCCACTGTACCCCTATTTTTGATTTATGATTTCTCGCCAGAATGTAAGCACTCCGATCTTTCATTCTTTCTCATCGTTGTCTTCTCTTCATCCGAAGGCAAATTAAGTGGCATGTTGAGAAACGGAAACGCCTAGATGAAGCATTCAAATTTCAGATCATACTTGGAAGTAAGGGTGTCAATGGACCATTTTGGATTGGACCTAGTCTAGTCTAAAATCAATTTGGATGGACCAATAAGACATGTTGGATTGGACCAATTTGGTCCAAAATATTTATTAAATTGGATTGGGCCTGGTCTATTCATAATAAATTTATATTGAATTGGGTTGGGTTAAGCCAATATCTGGTCCATTGATATAAGACAAAAATATAGGTGTCAATAAATCAGGTTCGAGTTGAAACCGATCTAAATCAAAACAAATTTAAACAGATTAGATGGTCCAGACACTGAATTGGACCAGTCTAAATGACCCAAAATATTCATTAGACTGAATTGGACCTGATCTATTTATAATGAAATCGAATTGGACCAAATCTAGTCCAATTGACACCCCTAACTGGAAGCAGAGAATTTGTGGTGACCATCACGGGAGAGTGGAGACATCATTCCGTTCAATTGGACCACACGTCCGCAGAAGCTATACCAAACACATAGTTTGTATTAGGTAAGAATTTTGACAGGATTGAGGGAATTCTATCTTCCCTTCTCAAAGAAGGTCCAGGTTCAATGTACATGCCTACTAATTGTCTAACGTCATGACAAAAAGAAAAAGAAAGGTAAATTTTTTAAAGTTTCTTAATCGATTTATCCATCCTTACTGTTTAAATATTTGCTTAAAGTACTCACAAATTTTCTGACAATTGTTTAAAACTTCACTTATTGTTAACTTTCCGTTACACTGAGTGATATACTTTTAAAAATTCTTAATACACTCTTTTACGGTTCTCCACTCCATCTTCATCAAGGTTGAAAGTATCAATACCGTTAGTATCGTATCCGTCAAATATTGCCATGAATTTCAAGTCCAAACACCGGAATTTTTTTTCTTTTGCATTCATCAAATATGGCTGTGTTTTTGAATCCCTCACACATCAAATAAGCCTCGACATTATATATATCTTGGCAAATGAAAAGGTACAAGAAACAAAACCTCTCTTTAACATAAGCATTCATCATTCAGATTGAAAATGCATCCATCGACCTCTGCTTGTGTGTAGTGGCAGTGGGCAAGTAGTACCTCTTCATCATTGTTGTCTCTGAATAACCAAACCATATGTCCGTTCTTCTTCCTTTTTTCTGAAAAGGAAAAAACAATAAAAGCTTTGTATCAACAAAAAAGTCACGATTAAGAAACAGCGAAATGCAGAGGAAGTACAAACAAATATAACCAGAATATAGGAGGAAGGTTTTAAGGAAAAAGGTAATAAAAACCGGAAATATAGACAAGATAAAATAGAATTCTTAATCGAACCTTCTTGTCTTGTTCTCGTTTGTGGTGAAGCATTCCTCGATTATGAAAGGGGAAGAGACGAGGACGACAGGGCGGAAGCCGAATCTGAGGGAATCGGGTTGTATCAGTTTGAAATATGAATTAGAGTTCGGTGGGTTTTGTTTTCTGATAATCCATCTGCAAGCATCCGAATCAAATTTAAGGCAAGTTTCAGTGGTTTGTGCATTGAATAAGATGGGTTTTATTTTGAAAATTTGAATCATGTTGAAGGGTAAATTTGACATTTTCTTGTTTTCTGTTAGTGTTTAAAGATGATGTCAACTGTAGGGATAGTTTAAGAGAATATGTAAACAAGTAAGGATAGAATTAGTTAATTAATTAAACCATAAGGATAATTGAAGAAATTTGAAAAAAAACAAAAAAAAAAAAAAGGTATTGAGATTGCTTTCTTATACAACCAACCAGACGTTGGATCACAGAGAGCTCCGGAAAGAAATGGTTGTGAGAAGAGAGATGGGTGAGGTTGATCCCGCCTTCGTCCAAGACATAGAGCACAGGCCTAAGCTTGCCGTAGTTGAGGCCGGAGGGATCCCACTGATCGACCTCTCCGTTCTGAATTCTGTACATGGGAAAGAGGAGGGAGACCCACGGGGACTTGCAGGTCTTGTGGCAGAGATAGGAGATGCATGCAAAGACTGGGGCTTTTTCCAGGTGATCAACCACGGGGTGCCGTCGGATCTGCGACTTAGAGTCGAGACAGTGGCGAAGAAGTTCTTCGCTCTGCCTCTGGAGGAGAAGTACAAGGTACGGAGAGACGAGGAGAATCCTTTGGGTTACTACGACACTGAGCATACCAAGAATGTCAGGGACTGGAAGGAGGTTTTCGACTTCATGCTGGAGGATCCCACAGTAATCCCGGCTTCACATAAGCCCGACGATCAGCAGTTAAATGAGCTGAGGAACCAGTGGCCCGACTACCTTCCCGAATTCAGGTCTGCCCATGAATCTTCATCTATATAAACAAACAATTTGAGCTCAAACATACCTTTTTTTTCCTGATTTATTTTGCTAGTTAATTATATATCAACAACACAAGCTGCAACTGGTTGTGGCTAATTAAAGACCCAAGCTCAGCTAGCAATCGATGTACATGCACCTAATAAGCTTGGGGCTTCACCCACATCACTAAATACTGACGGACTGATTTGCTCGCTCTATATTTTGTGTTGGACATGGACAGGGGGGCGTGTGAGGAGTATGCTCGAGGTGTAGAGAAGCTAGCGTTTCAGCTATTGGAGCTAATCTCACTGAGCTTGGGCTTGCCAGGAAAGCGGTTGAATGGGTTCTTTAAAGACCAGACCAGCTTTGTCCGTCTTAACCACTACCCTCCTTGCCCTTCACCAGAGCTCGCCCTCGGGGTTGGTCGACATAAGGATGCCGGAGCCCTTACCGTGCTTGCTCAGGATGATGTTGGGGGTTTGGACGTAAAGCACAAGACAGATGGCGAGTGGGTTAGGGTCAAGCCCATCCCTGATTCTTATATCATCAATGTGGGCGACATTATTCAGGTTAGCTACAACTAGTTACTAGCTTTTCAATTAAGGATATGGTTATTAACCTAAAACCGATGTAGAGCTGTCAACGGGTTGGGTTGGGTCTCGTCCGGGACAGGGTGGACCCGGTCCCAAACATATCTGAAAACCCTGTTCTGAACCAGATACTATCGGTTCTATATATAAAGCAGGCCAAGAACCGAACTGCAGTCCAATTAGACCCGATTAGTGCTTTGGAACAGAACAATAATAATTGGGAGACAAAGTTCAGAACTGACCCATTTAATAGTCGGGACACAAAACCGGTTTAGTCTGTTGGATATTCCCGACATAAGGGGATCATGTCATGCTGTGTTTAGTTCGAAATTAAAGGTACCTTTCCCTACCATTTCTTTCAAAACCAAATACAATCTTAATGTGAGCTCGGACTTAAATCCATGAAAAACCCTACTATATATATATAGAGGTTGTTGGATGGTGTCATCTGTGCCATCCCCACTTCTGAGTTCATTTTGTTTGCATTATGTTGAAGCTCCACAGGCTGCTCTTAAAATTTCACTTGGATTTTACCAAGTCTACATTGAATGCAAGTGCAGCATATGGGGACTGATCAGTGTCTTAACTTTTCTTTCAAACCAGACAAAGCTTTAAGAAAAGCTTTAACGGAATCATGGGGTGAGCAAGCAAACAAAGAGGATAAATTAAAGAAAAGCTTGGACTTTTCAAAGCTTAAGCCCAGAGTAGTGGCTAGTGAGCTGCTCATCATGTTGTTGTGAAATGTGAACACAGGTATGGAGCAATGACACGTACGAAAGCGCAGAGCACAGGGTGAGAGTAAACAGGGAGAGGGAGAGGTTTTCCATTCCTTTCTTCTTCAACCCTTCACATTACGTGACGGTGAAGCCTTTAGAGGAGTTGGTAATTATGCAGAATAAGTCTCCCAAGTATGAGGAGTATAACTGGGGGAAGTTCTTCACCACAAGGAAGCTAAGCAATTTCAAAAAGCTCGAAGTTGAAAACATTCAGATATATCACTTCAAAAAAGATATTTGAGTAATCATCCGATTCCTCTGTACCCCAATCTGGCATGTTTAGTTTCGTTGGTTGTCTGGGTTTTCAGATCATCGATACATATTTACCCAGTTTGTAATAATTAATAAATTAACTACTTAATAGTTGTAGTGATGGCTTGGCTTTAATTTGTCGACTGTTAATGCAATTAGTTAGGATACATGAGCAAACTGACCCTCCCACTTCCAGGAATCGACGGTGAAGCTCAATTCATTCAAAACTAAGGCCCCATTTGGTTTATAGGAATAGGGGTCTGGAATCAGAATCAGATTGATTTATTTTGATTCCAACTGTTTGATTGGGTGGAATTAGAATTACATTCCCATTTCTAGTTTGAGGGAATGGTCATTCCTCCCTCTTTCTTGGGAAACATTTATTCGAGTAAGTGTAATTATTTAGATAAGTTTTTTCTAGAAAACACTTACCCAGGTAAGTGTATTTATCCATATTCTTTTATTTCTCAAGTAAAAAAATAAATAGCCATTTAACCATAAAGATTCATTATTAAAAGGGGCATTTTTGTCTCATTCAAGTGTTGGCAACTTTTTCCCTAAGTGGGAATATTATTTATCACCTAGGAGATGAGAAGGTAAACTTTCCCTGATCCCCACATTAATCGGAAAAAAGAATATGAAATTCTCGAACAATGTGAAATCAAAATTCCATTGACCAAATTTCCCCCTCTCAAAAAAATAAAAAAAGAACGCCCCCTTAAATAAGACTAAGCCATTAACAAGACTAAAGCTGATGGTCTAACTGTCTAAGTCCGTCGGCTTAACCCATTACTAAGGCCAAAAGTGGCAGTCATATAAGACCTAAGCCGGCCGTCATATAGAACCAAGACCACCGCCTTAAATAAGGCTAAGCCGGTGGTTCTGACAACCATCGCATTAAGAGATTTTGAACCACTTGAAAAAGGCGGCAGTCTTTTCTGGCTCAATCGGTGGTCTTAGTCTAAGGAGAGTAGGAAACAATGGTTTAAAAGGCGGGCGGATGACCGCCACCTTAGATCAATGTGACGTGGCATTTTCTCCTCTTTAATATGCATTTACGAGTCATCTGTATATACACTAAAATAGAACGTGACACGTAGGTGGCCTGAGTTTTCTCCGTATAACTCTCATGAAGCCACCACTCCCTTCTATCTCTCTTATTTGAGCACCTCATCATGGCCCACCCACTTTACATTTTCTAAATCCTAATTGTGAGAGGAATCGTGACACAGTAGGAAAACAGGGCCAACACGTCTCTGTTTTCAACCCTTCTTCAAGTTAATCCATTCACTACTCTTCGATCTTCTCTAAAAACGAGTTTTTTTTACAGTCGTTTTCCCCACAGCTTTTTCAAACGACATTCAATCTTTTCTCAGTCGTTCTGAAACGAACTTCAAGCTCTTTTGAGCGAACACTATAGATTGAAATCGGGTGAAGAAGACAGTGTTTCACAATGGATGCAGGTTGGGTTTGCATAGTTCAACCTAGTCCATCTAACTAATCTGACGAGGAAATTTAAGTTAAATAGGCCGGGTTCTAATTGGATATGAGCGTCAACCGACCCGTATTTAATTGTTCCATTCCCAATTCGACAATTAATGGGTAATTGTCCAAAACCCCGGCTAATTTACTATTTTACCCTTAATGATATACCAAAAAGACAACGTTATTCACAACTTCTTTCTGTCTTACCTAAAGTCAGATACGAAATTCACGCTACTCAACACCACAGTTCCTCGAACTAGAGAAGAACCAAGGACTTTCCCCCAATCTAACTTGGTCAGTGAGGTGATCGCCGGATTTTTAGACACAGGTATCTGGCCCAAAGCTTGAGCTTCGACGACAAGGGACTCGGACCTGTCTCCAGAAGTTGGAAAGGCAAGTGTGGTCGAGGGAAGTTGTCGGAACGAATGGCGACGAATGGGGAGGAACTAGTGGTGTAGGCATGATTTTAGCGAATACTGCAACGAATGGGGAGGAACTAGTGGCCGACACACATCTGTTGTCGACGATTGCAGTGGGTGAGAAACTGCCGCGATAAAAACTACTGCTGTTATCACCGGTGGTGGCAGCCTCCACGTGCGACGCCATGAATACGCAGAGGAACTGCCGCTGCAAGGAGAACTACCGCTGTGATAACTGCCGCTGCAATCAGAGTAACTGGTTGCTCTAGTGTGTTGTTAATTGCCACGCGAGGTGTGAATTGCCATGCGAGGAACTAGCGCTGTTATCACTGGTAGTGGCAGCCTTCACGTGCAACACCATGGATATGCTGAGGAACTGCCGCTACGAGGAGAAACTTCATGCAATCCTGTTCGACACCGCATAGAGTGGAGGAATTGCCACTGCGACCACCACAGTGAAGTAACACAAACACTGACGAACGTGGGCACTCCGGCGATGTATAGGGCGTTTGTGACATTGCAGGTGGTGTCGGTAAAGAACTTGGTTGAGCCAGATTCATTGGCCTTCAGTCAACCAAATGAGAAGAAAATGTATACGATGACGTTCAGCGGGGGTAAAGGGATTTCAGTAAAAAAAATTTAAGAGGTTGACTCACCATGCAGGGGCAATTTAGTCGTGAAAAATGCATTTAGGTTGATGTGACATTGAATTTTAACAATGTTCTAACGGATGGTGAGTTTTAGAAAATAAAATCTAAGTGACTCACAGTTTTGGACGTTTTAAAAAGTTATAGAGAATTTAAGAGATTTCATAAAAAATGACGATGGGTTTTGGACAATTTTACTTAATTAATTATTTAATTAACGATAACTTCATTACTAATAATTAGTTTCTTATCTTTTTATTTTTGGACGTCAAAACAGATTTTCTTTTTGAATGTAAGAAAGAGTTTTCATCTTTAATATAGGGGAAGAGCAACCATTGATAAGTCCATAGAGTATTCTGCTTAGGGTGAGAATAAGACCACAAGAGTTTATTAACTTTCAACTGCCCCCATTCATGTGGTGGCGTGGTGTTTAAATATAAAAAGTTCTAACTTCCTACCATTGAGATAGCCTCAAAGTAAGGGATTAACCTTATAACTACATGGCCGATCCCTATGCCATTTCATACTAACAACTTAACAAGAATAACAAACTAACTTATTTGGTCAATTCTCATGCTAAGACCAACTAACAATTAACAACTTAACAACCTAACTTCTTGACCGATTCTTGTGGCTAGCACCCTGACTTCTTTGACTGATTCCTGCTCTATTGGGCCATTGCATGGGCCATGCATGATGGGCTGGTTTGCATGGGCCATGCATGAAGGTTTTTTTTTTAGTCCACACACTTTGAGTTGCGCGTAGGCACCCTGTTCGACCTTCGCGGCCCATCATTGCCCCCATCTTGTAGATGGACCTTGTCCTCAAGGTCCAGGTTTATGTACTTATCACGCAACTCTTGAGAATTTTCCATGTGGCATCTTCGTTGGGAAGGTTCTTCCATTGAACGAGGCTTTCTTCCACGAAGGTGGATCCTTTCTTCACCCAACGGGTATCCAGAATGGCTACCGGTTCTGTGACAAGTTCTCCCTCCTCGTTTATGGGTGGTAATTCGGTGCTAGTGGCAGTGATTTCGCCCACCTGTCTTTTGAGTAGGGAAATGTGAAAAACTGGGTGGATGCGCGAGCCCTCGGGAAGTCGAAGTTTATAGGCCACCTTGCCGATTTGTTCTTCAATTTGGTATGGCTCATAATATCGACTGGCCAGCTTGTGATAGGTTCGCCTATGAACAGTCTGTTGTCGGTACGGGTGGAGTTTGAGAAAGACTAGATCGCCCACCTGGAATTCCACGTCTCTTCTTTTAGAGTTAGCCATTTGGGTCATGCAGTTAATTGCTGCATGTAGGTTTATTTTGAGTTGCTGCAAAATGGCATCTCGAGAGAGCTTGGCTTGATCTACCTCTTCTACCAGGGATGTTCCACCTTGGTAATTTGGAATATGAGGTGGTGGTCTTCCATAAAGAGCTTTAAAGGGCGTCATTCCGATAAAGGAATGGTAGGTGGTGTTACACCAAAATTCTGCCCATGGGAGGAAGGAGCTCCACTTCCTCGGTTGTTGGAAAATAAAGCAATGAAGATACTGCTCTAGACAACGATTGACCACTTCAGACTACCCATCAGTCTGGGGATGATAGGCGGAGCTCATCTGCAATTTGGTATCGAACATCTTGAAGAATTCCCGCCAAAAGTGGCTAACGAAGATAGGATCTCTATCATTAACGATCGTCTTTGGCATACCGTGGAGCTTCACAATTCCTTCTACAAACCTTTCGGCTACAAATTTTGCCATATAGGAGTGTGGTAAGGTCAAGAAATGAGCTAATTTAGTGAGACTGTCTACTACCACAAAATAGTGGTTTTGCCTTTGGAGGGTGGTAGACCTTCTATAAAGTCCATGGTGATGTCGTCCCATACTTGGCAGGGAACGGGTAATGGTTGTAGCAGTCTGGCCGGGGATAGAGTGCCCGCCTTATTTTTTTGACAAATGACACAAGAGGCTACATATTGTTGAATATCTCTATACATGGAGGGCCAATAGAACTGCTGTGCCATACGCTTGTATGTTCTGAGTACCCCTGAGTGTCCACCATATGGGGATAAGAGTGTCCGCCTTATTTTTTTGACAAATGACACAAGAGGCTACATATTGTTGAATATCTTTATACATGGAGGGCCAATAGAACTGTTGTGCCATACGCTTGTATGTTCTGAGTACCCCCGAGTGTCCACCATACGGGGAGTCATGAAATTCTTGTAAGAGGGTAGGGACGAGGTTGGACCGAGGGGGAATCACGACCCAGTTTTTGTAACATACCAGTCCATTCTTCCATGTGTAAGGAACTCCAGGATTTTCCATTGCAAGCTTGCCGATGTGGATCATGTAGGGGTGGGTGTTGGCTTCTTTCTTGATGGTGTCCCACAGAGATGTTTGAGGCATATAGAGAGTATTAATGCTAGGACTGCCTAGTACTCTCGATAGAGCATCTGCAACAGAGTTTTCCCGTCCAGGCTTGTAAATGATCTCATAGTCGTACCCGAGCAGTTTGGACACCCATTTTTGTTGTTCCGGTGTCCCAATGCGTTGCTCCAAGAGATACTTGAGGCTGCGCAGATCGGTCTGGACGTAAAATTTTCAGCCCAACAAGTAAGGTCGCCATGTCTGTATTGCCTGAACAATGGCGAGCATCTCTTTGGCATAGGTGGACCAAGTTTGTTTGTTGACGCCTAGAGCTCGGCTCATGAATGCTATGGGTCATCCCTGTTGCATCAATACTGCTCCAATACCTGCCCCGGAAGCATCTGACTCAATGATAAAAGGCTCCTCAAGGCATTGCCAGTGTGGGGGTCGTGGTCATTGCTTTCTTTAAGGCTGTAAATGCCTCTTGGGCTTCGGTGGTCCAGCGGAATTCACCCTTTTTGAGAAGATTAGTGAGGGGTCGAGCTATGATACCATAGTTGCGGACGAACCTCCTGTAATATCCTATAAGGCCTAAGAAGCCGCGCAAGTCAGTAATATGAGTGGGTTGAGGCCATTTAAGCATAGCCTCAATTTTCCCTTGGTCTACCTTGACCCCTTGGGAAGTGACAATGTGACCCAGATACTCCACCTCTGGCTGGCCGAATATACATTTACTAAACTTAATAAAAAATTGGTGATGCCTTAAAACCTCAAAAGATGTTCTAACATGTTCAAGATGCATGCTCCAGTTGGGACTACAAATAAGAATATCATCAAAGAAAACTAGCACAAACTTTCGGAGATAGGGACGAAAGACTGAATTCATAATAGCCTGAAAGGTGGAAGGTGCATTACACAAGCCAAAGGGCATAACCAAGTACTCATAGTAACCATTGTGTGTGCGAAATGCCATTTTATGAATGTCCCGTGGGTGGATCCGTACCTGATGGTATCCGGATCGTAAATCAAGTTTAGTAAAGAAGGAGGCTCCATGTAGCTCATCTAGCATATTGTCAACCGTTGGAATTGGAAATCGATCCTTAATGGTCATGGCATTGAGTGCCCAGTAATCGGTACAAAAACGCCAAGTCCCATCCTTCTTTTTAACTAGCAAGACAAGGGAAGAAAAGGGACTTGTGCTAGATCGTATTAGCCCCAACCGTAACATGTCTTGTATATGTTTTTCTATTTCAGCTTTTTGGAAATAGGCATACCTGTACGGGTGGACATTGACGGGTTCCGTTCCTTCTTTGAGATTGATGCAGTGGTCGATCTCTCTCCACGGTGAGAACTGTGTGGGCTCTTGGTAGAGATCTTTGAATTCGGCCAATAATTGCTGCATATCCGGGTGTAGTTGTGGTGGTACTTCTTCCGTGACTGCTTGGAGACAGACAGTAAATAATGAATGTCCCTGCTTAATCCCCCTTGAGAATGCTTTGAAGGATATAGACTGAATCGGTTGGTTGTTGACCCCCTTCAATAGTCGGTGTTGGTTGGCCCAAGAAAACTCCATCGTCATTTTCTTCCAATCACACGCCACTGTGCCCAATTGCTCGAGCCAATGGATTCCTAGTACCATGTCCAAACCAATCAATGGTAAAGAATAGAGTGTTAAAGTGAACGCGATGCCTTGTAGTAAGACTTGCACATTTTCAAATCTTCCTCGGCACTTAAGGGGTTCGCCATTGGCTATTTTGACATTGAAGGGCTCAGTAGGCACGACCGGAAAGTGCAGCAGTTCGACTATTCGGTCGTTGATGAAGTTATGGGTGGATCCACTATCAAAAAGAACAATCAGTTCATGTGATTCTACCTTGGTCGTGACGCGCATGGTTCTAGCCACCGACCATCCCGTAAGGGCATGGAGTGATAATTCAGGCTCCTTGTGCGGGTCGGTGAAGCTTTGTTCGTCATCCTCTGATTCATTGTCGGTACAGTCTCTAGCGAGTAGTAGCAGCTACGGCCCCTTGCATTTGTGTCCGGGCCCAAATTTCTTGTCGCAGTTGAAACATAGACCTTGAACACGCCTCCTCTGCATTTTTGTCCAAGAAAGACGTTTCAATGGTGGAGTCGCCTTCGTCTTTGTCGGCAAAGAGTCGCCGATGGTTCTGGTGGCTAGACGCAGAGTCTTCTCATGACGACGCAGCTGTTCATCCTTCAATCGCGCCAGGCTGATGGCTTCCTTTAAAGATTTTGGTTTGAACATCCGAATTCCATCGGCTATGTCTGTTTTGAGACCTCCCATGAACATGCCCACCAACGCCTTTTGGGTCCATCCGTGCACCCTATTGCCCAATCTTTCGAACTCCATGGCTTCCTTTAAAGATTTTGGTTTGAACATCCGAATTCCATCGGCTATGTCTGTTTTGAGACCTCCCATGAACATGCCCACCAACGCCTTTTGGGTCCATCCGTGCACCCTATTGCCCAATCTTTCGAACTCCTTCTGATATTCCCACAGAGACCCCGTTTATCGTATTTTTGATAACGACTCATCGAAGTTTTCGTAGTCAATTGGGCCAAAACTAGCCCAGAGCTCTTCTACAAAAATCTTCCATGTTACCTCCTTCCCGTCGTCGTGATAAGTTCAACGTAACCATTGCCACCATTGGTTTGCCTCCCCTTCCAAATGGAATGAGGTGAGCGATACTTTCTGGGGTTCCTCGGTGTGCTGGTATTTGAAGAACTGGTCAACACGGGCGAACCATTCGGTTGGGTCATCACCGGAATACTTGGGAAACTCGAGCTTGGCTAATTTTGAGGAGAACATGGGTCGTGCTCTTTCTGTGTTGTCACGAGAAGGTCCGGAGGAGGACTGTCCACTGCGACCATTGGCGTGGCTCAGAGATGGTTCCTGCCGAGTCAACAAGGCTTCGGACATCCTACTAATAGCTGCCTCGAGCTGGTGTAACTTGTCATTAACCCTTAACTCGAGCCTACTCAAATTTGCTTGGAGTCCCCCGAGTCAAACTTCCAAACTCTCAATTCTTTCTTTGTTAGTGGCCATGGTGCCTAGCTCTGATACCAATGATAGGTTCCAGTCAAAGATAGAGAGATAGAGTATTCTACTTAGGGTGAGAATAAGACCACAAGAGTTTATTAACTTTCAACTGCCCCCATCCATGTGGTGGGATGGTGTTTAAATACAAAAGGTTCTAACTTCCTACCACTGAGATAGTCTCAAAGTAAGGGATTAACTTTCTAACTACATGGCCGATCACTATGCCATCTCATACTAACAACTTAACAAGAATAACAAACTAACTTATTTGGCCGATTCTCATGCTAAGACCAACTAACAATTAACAACTTAACAACCTAACTTTTTGACCGATTCTTGTGGCTAGCACCCTGGCTTCCTTGACCGATTCCTACTCTATTGGGTTGTTGCATAGGCCATGCATGATGGGCTGATTTGCATGGGCCATGCATGTAGGGTTTTTTTTTTTTTTAGTCCACATACTTTGGATTGCGCGTAAGCACCCTGTTTGACCTTCGCGATCCATCAACCATCTTCAAGAGATGTATGACTCCAATTCACGGCGAGTAGAGAGTGAATAAGAAAAATGAATAGAAAATCCCGAGTGCTTCAAGACGTAAAAGTCCCTACTAACACGCCTACACAACAGTTTCATTAATAACTTAATTTTTCTCTTGTTTTATTTATTTATTTATTTATTTTGACGTCAAAACAGGGACTCTGTCCCATCTCTTTCTGGGCGGATAAATCATCCTTCCTGCAACCATCGATTGAAGCTGATTCATTAGGTATTCATACTATGGGCTGTCATATTTGGCAAACCTTGAAATTAAACTCATTGAATAACCACTTAAGTATCGTCTTGACGTCCTCCATTAAAACTGAGCAAACGCCCAGCTCCTTGATGAAATTTAGACATTCCATCGTAGCCCATTCTTCAGATTACACTACTGAAATAGGTGGGAGTATTAACTGTTCATAGGCAGGTGGGAGCTTTATGGATTTATGTTGCTTTAGCCATTTAGCGTAAGCTTCATAGACATTCCATTAAATCGTAATTGGCAGTAGCACTTGGGAGGGGAGGGTATTATAATCACCAATAATTAGTTTGTCTGAATTGGGACGGAAACAAATCTCAGTTCCTCACCCAGACCCGCTACTTTAGTCGTTCCATGAATGATATACTGTAGCGAGACTCAGGTTAAGAAGATTGGTTTAATGGATCGGATTATGGATACTCCGACCCGAGTGTGACCATCAAACCATTTTACTTTTGGCCCGTGTTTGGTCTAACCATAATTGTTACATGAATCGGTTCAGTCCTGCCCGATTAATTATACAATTTACTGATTGATTATTTTTAGTTATGGCTATTCTAATAAATAATAATAATCACTAATTATTATAATTAGTTTAGCTGAATTAATTATAAATAATAAATAATCATTGACAAGTATGGTCAGACCAAGCCGGTTTAATTTTTAATTTACTTCAATAATTAGTAAACTATTATTAATTATTAAATGGGTTCATTTATGATATTCGCCAATGTTTTAAAAACTAGCCCGGAAATGGAATCACTTTGGCCACTGGTTTTTGGGTTAGTAGTTCGTTCGTTTGCTTCAAATGGATAATTTGTTCCAATGTAAAAAATAAAAAATAAAAAACTGTCAAAACCATTGTCCGAGTCGAATGGGTCAATGGTTCAATTGTTTGGATCAATAGGTCGCTAACCAAGTTAATGGATTTTGTCCCATATACGGGTTAAGGGTGATAGAACCGATTGCCTCAACGGTATTCGAGTTGAATGGTTTGATTGTCTGGATCAACGATGGTTTGAAAATCATGATATTCATCATAAATATAACAAAATATTTAATTTATAAAAAAAATAGTTACCAATTTGTGAATGAGTATCCACTTCAAACAATTCAATGATTATATAGTCTGAATCCAAGGTCCTTTGACCAAAATCAACTATATTTTACAAATTAATGGGTTAACCGGTAATTAAACGAAAACAAATACGACCAATTTTCCATTGAAAGAGCTAGCTCAATGATCTTTGAGAATATTTTCTACAGGGGTCAAAATCTAATTAAACCAAAAAATCAACTATATCTTACAAAATAATGGGCTAGGTGGTAATTAAACCAAAAAATATGATCAATTTTCCATTGAAAGAGCTAACTCAATGATCTTTGAGATTTTTTTCTATAGGGGTCAAAACCTGATTAAATAGATGGGGATGGGAGAATAAACATGAATGTGGCTTTGGGGGGCTAATCATTGGGTGAAGGTGGGGGAGAGGGGAATTTTACATGGAAAGGGAAAGGAGTAGTATAACTGGGGATTAGGGTTCCTCAGGTTGCCCTAGCAACACCCTTTGTCTTTGAGGTTGCTTTACCCGTTGCTTATATTAGAGTGATAGAGCATTTTCCCTCCTATATTCAAGAAAAAAAAAAAAAACTTGGGATGGATTTGATTTAGCTTAATCTAATTAGGAATATTGTCATAAAACTCCTACTATAAATATACTTGACAAGCCCATACATCACACGAGTTACGATTAATTTTATTTAAAACATTTTACATCAATTAAAAGTAATTTTTAGTTCACTTCATTAATAACATAATATTTTAGTGGTCAAAAAATAATTTATAATATTTTGATCATTTTTACTTAATTTCATATTCGAATAAGATTTCGAGCCTGATCCTAATATAATGAATGAATTTCAATGCATGTGCCTCTGTTTCATTGGAGGGTTGTAAAAGTTAAAACCATCATCTAAACTGCGTTTTAATTTCCTTCACCAATGTGCCTGTGTTTCATTGGATGGTTGTAAGGGAATGCATCAATCACAGTCGTACCAATTGTGAACTCTATTGTTTCAGATAAAGAAGGGCGATCATTTCTATCCGAGCCCACAATAATAGAAAAGCTTTGACCATTCACAACTCCATATAAGTTTTGATAAATATAATCTGATTGATTATCACTATCATGATATTGTTTGATTGATTACAAGTTTTTCCTAATATCATATCCTTCTTGTATTGCAGTCAAACTGGTATATCTATATATATCAGGCAGTTTGATTAACCTCTGGTTTTTTCTAAGTTAACTAAAAAGATTCTTTAATTTTTTTAAAAGTATGGAAGCAAAACTGAATTGATATTTTTTGGTTTGGTTTGGTTTGCTTTTTATGTTTATTGTTTTTTTATAAGCACCCTAGCAAAAAAGATGTTTTGGGAAAAAAAATATTATCTGAGCTATCTTACGTCAATTAAGAACATGTCATCGTACATCACAGAATTATTAGCAGAACCAACTCTATCTTCAGTATCATTCATTGAGGCTCAGTTTAGAAAGTATGCAAATAAAGTATAAATTAATGCATAAAAAAATACAAGATTTTAGTCAAGGAGATGCATCATTAGCAATCTCCAAGAGACAGCGACACAAATCCTCCGGGTTTGAGAACATGGCCATATGATCTGCACCATCAATCTCCTTCACCTGTTGCACAGGATTATTCTCGATCATCCAACGTTGAAATTTTTCAGTAATTATTTGATCCTCTTTGATGACAATGTAAATGCGCTTAACGGAACCATATCTCTCATTTGAAAACGCCTTGGCCTTTGATAAATCTTCTAGGAACACGGAACCCCTTCTCATCAGCATCATTCCCAGGCTAAAATCCTGTTCCATCATGATCGATCCAGCTCTATATTACTTCTTAATTTATTAATCCCATTAGAGACTGTAATTTCAAATCAAAGGAACTAATAATTGAAGATGCTTGAGATTAATTAAGGATATAATATCAGAGTTAATAATTAATATAAATTACGTACCTGTGGGGAGCATAGATGATAAAACCTGGACAAGTCCTTGGGGCCAATTAATACGGATGGTGCAGGCTTGCCAGAGTTATCTGACGATGAAAATTGAGTATCTAGCCACGCCTCTGCTGGAATTTTCTCAAAAAGCTTTTTATTATTTTTATTTTTATTTTTTATCACACACAAACAAACAGGTAAAATGTTACCAAATATCTATTAATTAATAATCCTTTTTACAAAAATAATTTTGGTAGAATTAAACCAGAGTTTAATGTTGACCCCACATCGTACGGGGTGAATGAACCTGCCATTGCAAATACAAATTAATGCTTGAAAACCAGTCCACAGCTTCAACTTGGATTCATTTGATAGGAGTTTCAAGTAACAGCCCATAAAAGTTATCTGACATGATCAGCGGCCTTCAAATAATATCCTGTGCAGATATCTTCCGCCTTAAATTACAATTCTCCAGCCAAGTATTTCATTTCAATAAAAGGTGATTAGGTGAGGCCTTAATTAGAAGAAACCAAGCAGATCCACATTCATAGTCCAGATTCCAGAGACGGGATCTCTTGGAGTTGGAAGCAAAAACTCTGAGAGCACAGAATTCAGCATTACATCGGAAATCCCATCACCAGTGATCATTGCTCCACGTAGGGAAGAGGATGCTTATCTAAGATTGAAAGCTCCTCCCCCACCAAGACCACGAGTTACGTTGTCTTAATATATATAGGCAAAAGGAAGACAATAATACCCTTTTCTCTTTTTAATTAATAACCAAGCTCGGAATTGCAGATTAACGAATTGAAGTAGGAGAAGGAAAGGAAAGGGAGTGAGTACCTGATCCAACACATAAGAGGGTGGGTGCGAGCTATCCGGCATGAAAGCTGTGACGAAGATGGCTGTTGATATTTTGTGTGGGAATTCCTCCATAGCAACACCAAGACTAAGTCCACCCAAGCTGTGTCCTACCAGTATCACTTTTTCTTCCGGTGGGATCGACTTCATCAAATCTGTTAATGGCTCCGAGTACTCTGCCATTGTTTGAATCTCCTCGATTTTCTTCGTGTTTATGCCTGATGCCGAAAGGTCGAGGGCCGTCACCCGATGACCCTCGGCCTCCAGCATAGGTTTAACCTTATACCAGCACCAAGCTCCATGGCACAAGCCATGTATCAGAACGAAATGCTTCTTCATTCTCTCAGAGATGGAGACTTGGAGAGAGAGAGAAGGGGGGGGGGTGACCTGTATTGGTGTTTGTTTTAGCTGGATCCTCACTTTTATAGATAAAAAATGGGTGGTAGGCAAGTTATATGGATTTTTCATCCTTACAAAAATGTCCTCACCCCGTGCTCACAATTAGTGGTGACAATCAGCCGAGTTTTTACAAGTTATGCGGGCTTAATTCGGTTTAAACCAACTTCGAACCAAGTTCAAGCCTAATTGATAGGCTCGTTTGCTAATCGAAACAAGTTTGAGCTTAATAAAGTTCGGCTCGTGAGACTTACGAACCTAATCAAACTTCTACATACATACATACATATACAATATTTTTATTTATATATAATAATAATAATAATAAATAATTATTATTTTTTTAATATCAAAGAAAAAATAACTTTTTATATATAATTTTTTACTTTTATAAAGCATTTGACTCAGTCAAGCTCGAGCTTATAAGCTTTTCACTCGAGCTCAAGTCTCTAGCTCAAACCTCATAATGTCTTAGTGAGCCAAGACTGAGCTTATGAGCTTTTTCACTCAAATCGAAGTCGAGCTCAAGTCTCTAACTTGAATCGAGCTCGAGCTGAAACTCGAGCCTTATCCTATCTTGACGAACTGAACTCAAATAACTAGCTATCGACTGAGCTCGTCTCGGCTCAAATCCACCTCTACTCACAACACTCCACTATTTTTGAATATCTTAATTTCCATGAATTAAAACTAGGGGTTCTTGTTGTTGATAAAGGCAACTTTTGGCCCCAAATATCAATAAAAGTAATTTTTTTTAATATAATCTCCAAAATAGGTTACATTTTTTAAAAATATCAAATCAGGGCAAAAATCCTATTCACCTTCTTCTTCCTTCGAACGATTCACGCGATCAGGACCTTATAGATCTCATCGTGCAGGTCTTGACACAATACCAACGATACTTGGAGGAGAAATCCAGAGCGGTTCACAGGGACGTGTTCCTCGTATTGTTGCCCCCTTGGTTCAGTTCCTTAGAGCAGGCCTTGTTCTGGATTAGCGGATTCAGACTTGTATTGACCAAAGTGCAGAGAGAGGAGACACTTCTCTTCGACTGGGAGGTCGGAAATTCCTTCGAGGTTTACTGGGGTGTCAGCTGTTGCTCGACTCCGATTGTTCAGCTAGCTGATTGTCGCCCTAGTTAAGGGCTAGGGGCTCGACGTGCTCATGTCGGCCCTAGTCCTCTGACACCCCAGCGAGGCGGTCACCTCGAGAGGGACCTCCTGCTCGGGGGCAGACTTCTTCTATACGCTGAGTGAGGTGGTCCAAACGATCAAGGACTGCCTGAAACTGCTCATAGGTGACCAGGTTCTGGTTGTTCCTAGTTCTTCACACCATAACTTTTGAACTTAGGAGGACTTAGAGATTTTCTTCGTGTGAGTTTTAGGGAATCGTCTCAACAATGTTTCCCACAAATGGCGTCAATTTTTGTTGCCCAGATTAGTCGAGGGCAACAGGGTAATTTCGCTCCCAAGTTCCGAAGGCAAGCTGAAGGTTTTGAGGATTCAAAGGAGGGTAAGCCAAGGCCGAGGAATGTAGACCGAGGCGAGATGCTCCCTTCGTGGAGTAAGGTAGAAGTCGAGGACTACAAATCGTCGGCTTGGTGACGAGGTCCCTGGAGATCCGAGATACTACAAAACAAGAGATGTTAGAAGCCTCGGGTGGAGACCCGAGGCGAAGGCTCCAACGCTCAAGTTAGCACGAGGAGTAAAGTGGGGGAAGGTGCAAACAAGGTCTCGGTGGTGGTCCTTGGATGCACTAGATCCACATGAGTAAATGCTAGTGAAGCAAGGTAGGTGCAAGAATTTAATTCAAGGCATTGGAAGTAAATGAGGGAGCCGGATCAAGATTCTGGGATCTGGATCTCTTGTCAAGGGAGAGTTACCTCATATTTATACTTGAGCGGTCCGGAGGCAGGTGGAGAGGAGAGTTACCTCATATTTATACTTGAGCGATCCGGAGGCAGGTAGAGATGAATGCATCAGATGAGAGTCATACGAAGTCAGGCAACAGATCCTTGTGAGTACGCCTAACTGCTCCGCGGTTGGCTTCGTACGAAGGCAGCAAGGCTCCCCCTATTGTGGCTGGCGTTGTCAGGCATTAGTGGGCCGGGCCTCTCAACCGTAATAGGCTGGGCCTGGCTAGCCAACATCAATTTGGTTTGTAGTGGGAATATCTCTCGTACTTATTTGTTATTATTCAGAGGAGAAATTTCGAATGCACAGTGAATGCGACTGTGAGGCGTTTGTTTGCGAGGAACTAGCAAATCCCATCACGTTTTTTGCACGGTCCCACCAACCGCAAAGCATGTTGATGCTGTATATGTTCCCAATGCAGTTGGTGTGTGGAGTGCTTTGTGAGGAAAAGTATCAAGATTCATAATCCATATAATATGAACCGGATTTGTTAGAAGCAAGAACTCTGAGATCACAGCATTCACCCTCACATCGGAATCATGTGTTTGGAGCTGAATGCCTATGCTGTGCTTTCAGAGTGTTGACATTGTATTTACTTTCACGAAATTCTGTCACCACTGCTCATGGCTTGCTCTGCATTAAACAGGAGAGCATGCTTATTTTATATATATATATAAGAGAGAGAGATTTCTTTTATATTGACAAACGGGCATTTAATCAAGCTCAGGGTGATATAGTGATAATGAAGGACTTTTGATGAATAAAATGATATATAATGATAAGGAAGAGAGTCGCATTGTATACCTGGGCTAGGGCTAGAAACCTAGAACAGGAAAATCAATTACACAGCTCAAGGGGTATTCTCCCCAAAAAACATGGGGGTAAATGAACCCCATAAACCTTCATGAAACAGTGAATCGGCTACTTGACTGGCCTCTCAAGTAGACCCCCATGTTTCGAGCAAGGTTTGGCTCAATGCAATGGCTGTTCAATAGGCTGTAGAACCAATGATCCATGTCATTATTTAAATACATAGGACTTGTACCTTTTACAGTGAGGCCTATGAATTTATTACAGACGAGGAACCTCGTCATTGGTTCCAACTAACCCGAATTTGTTTTATCTTGCCTGTCAATGCACAAAAATGTGATCATCAAAGTTAATTCAGCGACTCCACGGGAAAAGTAAAAATGACGTCACGGATTAAATTCCAACTTAATGGTTTCTGCGTATATACATTTTAATCTTGGCCCACATCTATTTCATCATTCGAAGGTTTTGATTTTTCTTATCTAATGACTTAAGATTTTAGGTTGAACAGTGCTCGGATGATCCATAGCACAAAAGGACATGTTGGATATTTATTTCACATTCAAAACAGTAGATGAACTATTCCACATGATATAAGATAGACAAGGAATGGTATTCAATCTAGCAGTTTTTTTGGTGAACATGGTTTTAAGACAACATATATAATAATATTATATATGTTGTCTAGGCCCAGCTCAGATTAATTATGGCCCAAGCCAGGCCCGGCTTTTCACCTATGATAAGGGCTACAATCTAGGCCCAGCTCAGATTCTGAGCCTAAGACTTTTTTTGTATAAATTTATTTTGTACATATATAATAATATTATATCATAATTTTCATATAATAATATGTAAATATAAAATAACATAAATACATATGCGGGAAAATCTATGATGCAGGAAAGATATGATATGGAAAAAGTTTTGATCAATCAAAACTCACCCATGAATTTTGATAAATAACACCTGATTTACTACCAAATTTATGATTTCAATTGATTGGTCAGATGTCTTTTGGATATCATGTCTTTTCCATATCATAGAACCCTACATTTTGAATATTTATAGATCTGCAGTGGAATTCAGAAATCTGCATTAGGTCTGTCCGTGCTTCTCCAAAAAAAACAATTATTTATTATGATAAAAGTCAAAACATGAAAATATTTTTATCCATGTATAATTACGGGAAGGCCAACAACCCCATACTAAAACAAGCTGTGTCATTAAGTCAATGGGCCTGTATGTGTGCCCTCTCATTAATCCTACGGACCTATTGACCAGTTATGGCATATAGCACCTTGCCCATATGGAGTATTTATAAGTAAAAAGACAAAATTCAATCTCTATCATATCTTTAATGTATCATAAATTTACTACATTTTTAAACGAGTTGAAATCAACTGCCAACAAAATATGTTCCAACACCCTATTAACTTGGTCTCACATCGCATATCTCACTGCGAAACACCACAAAAGTTGGATTCATCATATATGAGCTATGCGGAATCAGATGATGTTGATAGGTTGTTGGAACATGTTTTATTGGCTGGTGATTCAGAATCTTTTCAAATGTCATACTAGCACGTTAAATAACATTTATCCATAGAAGAAGTGAAAAAAAAACCTCAACAACAAACTTTATGAGACCCGGTGTGTCATAACAAGGAACACATAGGAGGGGTTGTGTAGTAGAAACTAGCAAGTTCATTTCTTATAAGACTAGTGCAAGACATTGCACTATGCATACCTTATATTATACACATTGTTTGGATTTTAATTTTATGACCTACACTGAACCTAAGGCAAGTATTCACTTAAAGTAATATAGATAAATAAGTGAATAATACTCCACCTAATAGCATTTGCCTGTTTTGATTAGTCAGAAAACAACAAAATAACCCCTCGATAAATGACTAATATATTAGTCACAAAGCTGCAAATTTGTCTCAAGTTGGGAAGCTGGTTCTTTTAAAATCGGCCCTTCAATCCATTCCTAATCATGCCATGTCTGATGTTTCACTTCTGTTGGACTTGAATGAAAAAAATTGTTAAAATTCAAAGGAAACTTTGGTGGTCTTTTGGAAAGAATTCTAAAGGTTTTTCTTGGACAAATTGGAATCAGTTCTGTTCTCCTATTTCGTATGGGGGATTGGGAGTTTGGAAAGCTAATGAAATAAATGTTTCTTTTCAATTAAAGTTAGCCTGGATTTTTATAAACCGAGATCACAGCCTGTGGGTGAAATTGTTGAGAAGTAAATATGTGCATTCTCATTGCATTTTTCCCTATACTGAAATCTAATTATTCTAGAGTTTGGAAAAGTATCTATAAATCTCTTTTTCTTCTCAAGAATAATCTAGTTTATAAACTGTCTTTGGATTCTCAGGAGAATATTTGGAATGTGCCTTAGATCCAAATTGGTGAAAGTTTTATTGTTCCTATTGGCCACGTTATTCGACAAGATGTAAATATCATGTTCAATAACCTTTTTGATTCGGAAGGAAATTGGAATTCCCAAGCAATTTCTCATTATCTTGGAGAAAGTTGGGCGGCTCATGTTTGGAATGTGCATATTTTTAGGAATTTTCAAACTGAAAGGTTTTGTTGGACTTTAGCAAAGAATGGGGTCTTTGAGTTTGAAGAATGCTTATCTAGCTATATGGCAAAGAAGGGAATTCCGATTACCTTTAATGCATGAGAAATTAATTAGGAAAGTTTGGAAACTAAAAAATTGCTCCTAGATATAAGTTGTTTGTATGGAGAGTGATCCATAACTTTGTTCCAGTTAATTCCTTTATGCATGTGAGAGGACTTGATGTTTTTATTCCCAGTGTCTTCTGTGATGATTTAAATGAGGATGTTTTTACATTTGTTCTTTAATTGTCCAATTGCTAGGGCTCTGTGGTTCAACTCTCCTTGGAATGTGAGGACTGAATTTTTTTTCTTACACCTAATTCGACTAACACTATTATTAGTATTTTGAATATTTTTTATGTAGGTATGGACAAAGCTAAGGTACTAACTTGGATGGCAATTTTTTGTTATTATGTGTGGATTGCTAGAAATAATTTTATTTTTAGAAACCAAACCTGATTGGTTGATAAATTGATATCTACTATTCGTGTGGTTTTTGAGAAGTCTTTCTATCTTTTGGGGGCAATTTTCTCAGAGGGACAGAATGGACAACTTTCTATCTTTTGTTTTCAAGAATTAAATATATTGTTAAAACTGGTAATATACCTGCACAAGCTATGACGAGCATGGCTAAATGTTGTGAAAATTATATTTTTGGGAAGGTGACCCCCCTCCCTGGTTGAATTGTGATATAGATGTAAATAGTTTCTTATAATAGTATATTTTAGCCATTAAAAAAATAATATATAGAAGAAAAAACAAAACATTACATCAACTGTGTTTGATTTAAAATACTATCAATTTGTATTAAAATGAGCAAGGTTTGATGTAGAAAGAGGAATGGTACCAAAAAAACAATTCAAGAGTAAAAGCATATAAGCACTTGACCGGTAATAGTGGGACAATTATTTGTTTTTTTTTTTTTTTTTTTGAGTGTTATGTAATTTTTCTTCAAATAATAGTAGGGCAATTATTTGGGCTGGCTAGGGTTTGAGGATTTTATTTAAAAAAAAAAAAAGAAATTTGAATGGCCCCAACCCCGTATCCCACTTGCATCCTTACACTGCAAATTTTCTAGAATAGAAAATTTAATTTCAAAAAAAATCCTCCTTTAAACTGAAATAAAATAATTTTATTTAAAAGATATGATACTAGAAAAATTTATTAACCAATCAATGGATTTTCATCAAAATTCACGAAAGTTTATGATTGATGAAATGCTTTTCAAGTATGGCATCATAGATATTTCCTTTTTTTGATAAATAGTCACATCACCTACAGTACCAACAGTGTAGTATGAATAAGATACAACACCTGTCATAGTTGGAAATTGGAATAAAAGTGTTGGAGAAAGTTCCTAATACTTGTCAGCTATCTCCTGTAAACAAAAGTAAAACTCAAGAGGCTTTGAGAGCATAACCATATGATCAGAACCCCTAATCACTTTCACCTCTTTGGTTGGATAATTATCTATCATCCACCACTGGAAGCTTTCGTCCATCACTTTATCTCCATCACATACCACAAAAACCCTCCTCACCGATCCATACCTCTCCTCCGATAACAATGCTGTGTCTTCATTCCATAAATCTTCTCCGAACAAAGCCGCCGGTCTCACCAGCAATGTACCCAGCGTAACATCCTATAACATTATTCCATATGACAAACCCATTAATTTTTATATTGATCAACCAAATCGTGTCGTTTGTCTTGTTTATGGAAATTTAATTAGTACTTACCTCCGGCTGGCAGCAGTTATACATTCTCGGTGCCAAATACTCCGGGCCAAATGTTATTGAAGTCGGAATAAGGCTCTCCGGCCGAGGACCCAGAGTAAAATTTATTCCCGATAAAGATTCCGGTGGCGTTCTTCCAAATAACTGACGATCAGAATTCAGAGGGGAGAAAGTGAAAAGGGATATTTAAAATTTTGATTTGTTTGTTGCAGGTAACAACAATTAAGAATTCACCTCTTGTAGAATGGCTGCAGGAGGAGATGCAGTGTTGGGCATGATGGCGGTGGCGAAAACAGCGACGGAAATCTTCCGGGAGAAGCTCTCCATGGCTAGGGAAATAGCTATGCCGCCGAGACTGTGACCCACAAGGATCACCCTTTCTTCTTCAGGGAGAGCGGCCATGAAGTTCATCAGAGGTAGCACGTATTCGAAAACCGACGCAATCTGATCCAGCTTCTTTGGGTTGACGCCACTGGCTCCCAGATCTAGTGCTGTCACTCGGTAACCTGCAGATTTCAGCAACGCCAGCAGTTTGTACCAACACCATGCTCCATGACCAGCACCATGAACCAGAACAAAATGCTTCGAGCCACCCATTAATTAATCAATTGCTTGCTTCTGCGGTTTCTATTCTACTTAATCGAATTCATTTGCTATTTGGATTTGCTATAAATATACTAGCATTTTCTCACACCGGTCTCCTCTTCTCTCTTTTTTTACACATTTGAAAAATTATTATCAAAATAAAAATCAAAACTTTTATAGAATCCCAAGTCTGATATATCTTAATTATCTTCTCAAAAGTACATAATTATCTTCTCAAAGTACATAATTATCTTCTCAAAAATCCTCTCTTATGTCTTAATTTTCTCTATTAAAATTTACAGAGAAATACGGATACATCCAATGCAGATCTCTGATTCCCACATGCACAGATATAAACAATCAAAACGTCCAAAAACCACACCTTATGCATCCATACCCGCCTRTGAATTGTCATCAATTCCGAATTGGCACCTACCCCAAATATACTTTGAACCTACAAATTCTGACAATGGGGGTATGGGTCATTATCCCTAAAATTTATCATTACT